ACTCCAACCACAGGCCCCAGTGGTATTAGCTCAGTAAATGTCAGCCATTATTCTTACTGCTATTATTGTTTACTTAATACGTACCAGTTAATTCTGACAACAACCACAGAAGGTGAGACTAAGGAGGAGGCCATTAAAGAAACGGATGTCGAAGATAACTGTCATCTGAAGTGAAAGTGTGGCTCCAAATGGACTCTCTTTCAATACAACTTTGCATTATTTAAAAACCCCACTCTGCATAAATTAAAGAGGACGTGGGGAAGAGGAGTCCACTTGTTTTCAAAGCCGTCTTGTATGTCCTAATACCTAAAGATGAGCCATGGCCTGGATGGAAGGCACATTTGTAACAACACAGTCCTGAACACTGGTGCCGTCCCCATGTCACAGCTTAGAATCTGTAATTGTCCTTCCAGGCCAAAATGAGTTAAGGTCCATAATACACAGGGATCAATGAACCCCGAATCACTCACAGGGAATGGGGACGAGGGTTCATTGTAAGGGCATGCCCTCTTCAAGGATAATCAATTAAAACATTTCAAAAGCTTAACTTACGACAACCAAAAAACACATAAATTAATTATCTATCCTGGGTATACTGGAGCTAGTTCCTAACTATTTAAGGGTTCTGTGAGCCAACCACAGTACACAAACGGACTGACATCATCAACGCCTGCCTCCTCCTTCTAAGCTGGCTCTTCATAGACAGGCATTATTTCATCTGTAAGACTTATCCGCTCTAGTCACCTAGGCTGCTGTTCTGTAGTCACCAGGGTGGAGTGACTTTAAACAATTAGGTGGTAATGTCTCTCTCCAGTATCTAGTATGTGGTCTAGAGAAAATGAACAACATGGCAATGGGAACTGACTACCCTTGCCCAAATGAGGACCCACTACGCTGCACCCAATGGTTCCAAAATCCCCAGGAACTATGAGCAGTTACTGTAGAAGCTAGACACAGTAGTCTAGTCAAACGACGCAGGCTATGAAGAAAGGTAAGGAAGACACCAAGATGATGACGTCACCCTCCTTGGCAGAAGCCCTACCTCTGTTCCTGTCTTGGTGGATAGCCATCACTCTAAGTTTATACATTTGTCTCAGGGCCTGGGTTAAATGCCGACATCTAATAAGTCCTTTAAAGCTAGCCATAGTATCGAGCTCTTTATGTACAGATGTGCTAGGCTTCTGTTACTATGACAGATACATAAATATCTGTACATATGACAGATACATCTTTTCCTTAAAGAGGAAAGATCTGTTTTGGTCCATAGTTCCAGAACCTTTAGAACAGGGTCAGCTGAATTCGCTGCTTTAGGCCCAAAGTGAGACAGAACATCCTGGCAACTGGAATTTACGACAAAGGAAGCAGTTTATCTTACAGGAGCCAGAAAGAAGGCAGGCAGGAAGGGGCCAGGGACAAGGGACCTTTCAAAGACACTTTCCGACTACTTCCTCCTACCAGTTCCCATCATTTTACCATGTTCCATTAATAACATAAAATTAGAATCCATCTGCAGATAAATCCACTGATTGGCTCGGGGTCCTGATGATTCAGTTGCCTCTCAAGAACTGGATCCACCAGTTTTGGGAGCCGGGCTTTCAAAACATGAGCCTCTGGGAGACAGTTCATGTTCAAACCATAATAAGAGACAGCAGTGAGTGTTGGCTAAATGAATACATGAACATTTGTCTTTCTTATTTGTTACACTGTTTAGTTACAATAATTCCACTCAAAATAAAACTGGACAGAGAAAAGGCTGGAGCATCTTAAGAATGAACCATAGAAGTGAGACACAAGGGTTGGTATCTTTATGGTAGCCTAGACTAAAGCTGTGACCAAGGAGGGCTGGGGGAAAAGAAAAGCTAGCTAGAAATAGCATTTACCAAAACTCATGGCATCGTCACTTTTAAGCTAGGTTATAAGAAGTTCATGGTGGTTTTCTCCTTAAAAACATGTTTTAAGTTATTTCAGGGATGGAAAAAGAGCTTCATTTCATTCCTGTAAAGTATTTTCACCATAAATTGTTGGATCATAGTGACAACAAATGTCAGCTGTTACTCACTCATTCATACTAATAATCATTTGTGTAGGAGCTAGAAAACTCACAGCATCCAGGAGACATAGAACAGTGGTGGTCAGAGGCTGGGAAGAACGGGGAATGAGTGACTCATGGGAACAGAGCTGGCGCCTTGCAAGATAAAAGAAGTCCTGGAGAGGATGCTGTGCTGGTCAGGTAGCAAGGCTGATATGATGTACTAGTGTACTATATACCTAAACACTGTCAAATGATGAGGCTCCACCCCTTCCTGAGGGGCCATTGGTTTCTGGAAAGGGCGTGTTGTTTTCTTCAGTGGGGTCGTCACTGATAAGTATCCCATGCTTAGTAAATAACCCTCTGTAAATGCTCTTGGAAGTAAGCCTAAACTTGGCAGGATGGATGCATGCACGCACGCGAGCGCGCGCGCGCACACACACACACACACACCACACGAGAGTAGGAGGGGGCTGAGAGGGTACTAGGAATGAAAAACTAAAATTCATTATATGTATGTATATATAATTATGCAATTGTTAAAGAATAAAAGAATTAAAAATTTCAAAATGACAAATCTCATGTTATATATGTATTATCCTATATAATTTTAAAATATGGAATTTTAAAAAAACACCAGTTTAAAATTCTTTGTCAAATCTAGTAAATGTGCTATTTTTGTATATTTCAAAGCCGATATTAAACAGAAAACATACCACATACATAGATCTATTAAAGCGTTTAGTCGTGGTGTAATCTCAAAGGATCACCTCTGTCACATAATCCACTGAACGATAGCGGCAAGCCTGGCTGTTCTGGAAAAACTATCCATACCATAAAGGCTGATACACAAGGCACTGGCCAGTGCAATCTCAGACCTTTGAGAACTCAGAGCAGCTAAAGTTGAGAGCAAACACATGAGACACATGGATGGCACCAGGTCTGTGTATGACTCCAGTACCCGACCTCTTTAGAGGGAGCAATGCCATGCCATTTTCTAGAGAGCAGCAGGAGGAACCGACAGCAGCTGATGGTGGCAGCACAGCTCCAAGCTTCCCTGGTGAGGAACCAGGACTGAAAGGAAGTCCATAGAGAAAGGAGCCTTGAAAGCCAGGGACGGAAGATGCGCTCTGGGACAGAGCTGCTGTCTGACAGTAAGGCCCAGCCTTTGGTTGGACACTGTGGGAATGGGAGTCTGGATAGACTAAAGGACTTGCTGAATTCTGGCTCTTTGTCTGCCTGGTACACGGAAGAGGCATGTGAGAAGGCTCATCTTGTCTCATCTCGTCTCACCTACGGGGAGAATCTACGCCTTCTTGTTGACTTTCCAGGCATCAAATGGGAGACGACAACCAACGGTCTTGGCAATATGAATGCAGACTTCCCCATTAAGAGCTGTGATTTTAGCTTGGTATCCTTCCCTTAGAGCGCCTGACTGCAGAAAAGGAGCATGGGGACCTGGGATCTGGTGTGTCTGTGTGTGGTGGTGGGTATGGATGGGCGTTGGGGCGGGGGTGAGCGTGGAAGCCAGACGTTGTATTCCTCATATGCTCTCAAGCTCAGTTTTTGAGACAGGGTCTCTCACTGAGCCTGGAGCTCCAGGGATTGTCTCCCCAGCTCCCCCAGAGCTGGGATTACAGGGGCAGACCTGACTTTCCGTGAATGCTGGGGATCTGAACTCAGGTCACCATGCTTGCGTGCCAAACGCCGCCCTCACCGAGCCAGCTCCCCATCTCCAAATGGTTCTTAAAAATGGAATCCCAATCAACCCTCTTGGTTTGAGTTCATCTTCTCTTTGGTACCTAGAGAGGCCAGGTGCTAGCAATTCCTAGGCCTTCATCATCTGTAGGGTTTAACTGGATTTTTCTAGGTTTGCGGAGTCAGCTTTCACCTCTGCTTCCCGTTTACAGAACACTGGCACTGTTGTCTCCTAGTCTCAGTGAACTAATGTTGTTGTTATTCTGAAAAGCCCAACAGCGGTGTTCTGCTTGTTCTCCCCATTCCTACTGTTGTCTAGACACTCTGCATGAGTTTTCTATTTGTACAACTGTACCCAGCAGTTGTTATTACTCCACTTAGAGATGAGGAAACCGAGTTTTAAGAACTTGCTCAAAGAATTCCAGGTTGGAAATCAAAGCCTTAGTTCCTGCTGCTGCTTACATCCAAGCGCTCCTGGTGGAGTGATAGCAACAATGACGGAGGGCTGAGGCTGCGTGTTTCCTTGGTGACCAGTAGCTTTTGGTTGCTCAGCAACTACACTGGTGCTGTGACCCATTTCAAGGAGGACCACAGCCTGTTGCACAGTAGTATAGAGCTTCACCCCCAAGAGCTCAACACTCAGAGATGGTGGCTTCAAAGACCAAACCCATTTTCTAAAGACAGTTATATATGAAGCTTTACCTGGCCTACTTTAGGAATCTTTCCCAACCCTGTCACTTCTCTTCCCTAAATCAATGACCAAGGTTTTTTTAAAAAAAAAAAAAAAAAGGAAAAGAACTTCCTAATCTAGTCAACTAAGACAGAAGCAAAGGACAGAGGTTTCCCAGAGTGACAGTAATATTATTTCGAAAATATTTTTAACAAGAAGTAATTTTGCTAGGTTATGCAATCCCCTCTGATAGCTACCTCTGACATGCAGACTGAGAACAATGTCCAGAATTGCCTGTTTAATTAGACACAGAGAAACAACACATGCTTGCGAGAGAAAAAGGCAGCCAGGATTTGCTTCTGGGTGTGCTTTTCTAAGACTACTTATGCTAGGGGGAGCTGCTCAACAGTTTTAGAGTTTTCTTCATTTGCTTCTTTGAGCTGTGTTAGAATAACAAGAATGTGTAGGCTTTTTTACATACATACACACATACATACATATATATATAATTAAAATTTGCTTAGCTCCAGTCTGGTAAGTGTTAATTAACATGACATTTTTCTACAGGAGATATTTAAAAATAGTTTCATTCATTCTACTTACAGTGACTTCTTACTCATGCCGAAGCACCAATCACCACTTCTGCGTTTCACCATGCACGTCTGAGAACTTAATGAAAAGATAACGCCGTGTAGGCGGTGAACCAATGGCACGAAGAGTCGAATCTTAAAGCAGGTAAAAGAACATATGACATAAAAGTTGAAAAAAAAATCAAATCGGTGGCACCAAAATATCAGCAGCTGGGAAATCTGGTCCTGGCTTCCTGCACAGTCGTTACTAAGTCACGATGAAGGGACAGATGGACTAAGGAAGAGCGGGATGGACAGTGGCTCATTGCTGAGCCTCTAGCAGACTCTTCAAACTGCTGTGCTAACAAGGTAACACAAGGCGGGGTAATATCTGCAATCTGTCCCTTCATTTTCATGTGTCTTGTGCTTTGGGGCACCTGCTTACCTCTGTAAAAATGTGTGATAATCACTCAAGGAGTAGTTAGCTAAAAACTGGTAATGCCTAACCTTGGGTGTCCTTTAGGACCCACAGCCCTAGGATCAGAGTAACCCTGGAGTCTTACCATCAGCTCTCAGGGTCCTTCTCTAGGTTCACAAAAGATCCCAACAATTATGAGTTGTTCTAAATCTGCAGTTACCCAGAATTCCAGGAGCAACACAGCCTGGAAAGACAGCCCTCCCCTGTAGATGAGGGCAACCATCCTACTATGTGGAGGATGTCTCTGTCCTGAGAGGAACCCTGTCCCATCTTCGGACCACATCACAGAACTAGAATGGAAACAAATCTTGACACACTGGTTAATTATGGCAACCTCTTGACCTCCTGTCTGCACTGTTCCTGTTGAAACCCAAAGCTCATGCCATGATCCTGAAGATGAGTTTAGACACATTTGTGCCCTTTATCTGTTCCTCTTCCCAAGGTGCACTGGTTAAATCCCCAATCTGTTTCATATTATTTTAATGGCTATCAAAATGTCTGAGTCTAGTCTTAAAGCTGGTTTGCCTTAAAACTTTGGTTATAAATGACATAAATTTAATTCCATGGGCTTATTCTTAACTGGAAAACATCCTGGACACATCAGAGGCTGAACAATGAGTGTGATTATCCCGAAGAGCAAAACAGTTAGGAATTACGCACACAAACAAACTCATGTCTATCTCTGAAGTTTCACTGGTGGTATAAGGAATTATTTGTTATAGAATTCAGAAGTTCCACGTGAAATAATTTTGGTAGCACATGCCTAGCATTTTTTTTTTTTATTCTTAAAGAGAGCTGATTCGGTAGTTATACTTCTTTAGCACTTCCTCAAAAGTCAATGAGGAAGATCACTCACCTGTACTGAAGGGCGCTGTAGAGATAAAAGATAGCATACTAAGGTATTGTCAGGTCCAAAGGAAACTCTATTTCCCTAAATTCCCAAAGGCAGAAGAGACAAATGGCTATCTATTGTTCCTATTAGCATATCAAAGCCCAGGCTGGCCTCCAGGCTCCCTCTGTAGCACAAGGTCCTGTTGCACCTTTTAAAGTCCCGGCTAGCAAATCCTAGCTCTTCTCATCTTCTTCCCTACCCCAAACTTTCCCAGCTCAAAGGCTATCATTCTCCTTATGACCCTGCCATCTCCATATGCTCATTCTCTTTGTCTTTCTCTCTCTGCCTCTCCCTTCCCCTCCACTCACTCTCCCATGCTCTCCTCTCCTTCTCTCCATGTCCCTCCCCCTCTTGCTGATCCCCCGGCCAGGTCCAGTCAGCTGGCCATGCTCAGTCTACTAATTTCTCTCTCTGCTCTGGGCTCTTCCAGATCCCTCCGGCTGTTCTGCCTCTCTCATATCTACAACAACAGCAACTAACTACAACAACACAATCTTTCCCCTTAATTATACCTTGGAGTGGTCACATCATCAGTCTACACAGGTATCACTATCATATCTTAGGGAAAGTGATGTCTTTCCATGCATTATGATTATTTTATGTAGCTGGTAAAGGGGTGCTGGGCAAAAGGATCCCAGTGAATATGTGTTGATGATATCCTGTCTGGACAGAATCAGACACATCAACGTTCTCAGAGACTCGCCTTTGTAGAACAGGAGAGTTATTATCACGTCCCTCTGATTAAGAAGGAAGCAACAGTGAAACATTCCCTCCTTTACTTTCTATTCATGAAGTCCAAGGTAATCTCTGCTGAGTTCTGATAGCTTTTGGAACACAGAGGCAAAATGGGCTTTCTCCCTATGCTCCAGGACTTCTGGAGTTACTTCCTCAGGATACACAACACATAGCTCCATTTTGATGGGCCTTCTTTAGAAAGAGGGGATGTTGAAAGGGTTTTGATGAGTAAAAGCTGCTCTTAGATGATGAAAGGAGGAAGGAAGGAAGGAAGGAAGGAAGGAAGGAAGGAAGGACGGACCATAGGGGAAAATCTCCCACAAAAGGGTTATATTTCAAGAAATTCTGAAAAATATAGCTATTCACCAGACAAAATTAGACTTTTCAGAACCGGAAGTGACTTTTAAGGAAGTTGCTTAGAAAATTTAGGAGAGAAATAACTGGATGGGGATTGGGAAGAAGGTATGTGGTAAGATTATGTCTGTGACCAAATCATGATAGTTGATGCTAAAATGTCAAGAGTTACCTCTACACCGCCACTGGGAGTATTTACCATCCAGGTTACAGCTGCCTAGAGACCAGGTGTCCTCTCATTCTCCATCCTGAGGCCATGAAATTGGGGATGGGGTACTGCTCATGGCCATGTTTTTGAGCTGAGCACAGGGACGGGTATTAGCACTCTGTGGGCTAAGGAGACCTGGTGCCCCACAATTTATTCTATTTTATAATTAGCTATAATTACTGTTTTTTTGTGGTGTGTATATGTGCATGCGTATTTATAGGCATAAATATTAGGTGCATGTGTGTCACGGCTCCTGTGTGTGGGTCACAGGACAACTTTGGGTGTTGGTCCTTGTCTTCCACCTTGTCTGTTTTCCACAGCTAGCTGACTTGTAAACTTCCGGGGATTCTACTGTTTCCACCTCCTGTCTCGCCACGGGAGTAATGTGATTCCAGACTCCTTCTGCATGTCCAGCTTTTACATGGGACCTAGGGGTTTGAACTCAGGATCTCATGCTTGCACGGCAGGCACTTTTACCCACTGAACCATTTCCTTAGCCCCATGATTTATTCTGAACCTGGCAGATGCCTTTGTCAAAGTGACCTCCAGCACCATCAGGGATTTCTATAGAGGCTGAAAGTGTAACTCTACCTACCAGGAGTCCTCACAGAGAGCACTGGGCATACGAGTTCTCAAAAATGTTTGCTTAGAAGAAGAAAGGGAAAAAAGGGTGTTTTCAAAAGGCCCCTAAGCACATCAGAGGTTGACATTTACACACAGACAATTGGAGAGCACTAATTAAAAACAATTCCCATCCAGTCTTTAATACGGGCAATGTAGTCACTAGCTCCTCAACCCACGATCAACTCAAGGTGAAGAGAAGGATTCATTTCGTGGTGGCTCTGTGCCCGCTACAGGCTGCCTGGCCAGGCACTGGTGTCTTCTGGAGGTGGTGAGCTAGAGACTGCACTGGTTGCACGGGGTAGGAAGTGGTGGGAGGGGTGGGGAGTGGAGGTTCTGGAGAATGGGAACTTTCTGTTAAGTGTCTGGGGTCACAGGCTGCAAGGAAGCAGCTTCCCTTTCCTTAATCCTGACCCCCCATCCTCTCTCTACCTTTTTCATCTGCAAGATTCTTTCAGCTCATTGGCTTTTCAGAACAGGAAGGGAAGTCATATCCAAATGAAAAACTGAAAAATACATGAATTTCTTTGAAATGATTCTGACAGGCCATTTTTTTCCCCTTCCTTCCTGGCTCAACAGACCCAGAGATGTATGCTATCAAGTTTATATAATCCATTTTATCTACTCTAGAGCATTAGTGTAAAACATTGGCTCTCCAGGCTTATAAAAAGCTTACAGTGTCTTTTCTTTGTTTCTTAGAAATCCCAAATCTGAAACAACTTTCAAATTATGTACTAATGATGTCACGTGTTGATAGCAGGGCCATGTTCAATGTCAAGGCAAAGCAAGTTCTTTAGTCTTTTGTACTGAACCAATCACAGTGGTCCCATGACTAACTACAACTGTCCCCTGACTACTGCTTCATAGCAGACATCTTTTTGCGAGTTCTTGCTAGCCCACATGACCTGGCATTTTACCCACTACCTTCCCCAGCAAGGGCTCACTGAGGATGGAATCTTCACCCACATTTTTAACCCAAACGCGGACAAGAGTAAGAAGCCTACCTCATTGTCATGTTCTCAGCATAAGCATCGGCACAGAACAGACTCTTCCTGAGTAGGCCCAACTCAGCCCCAGCCTCCTGTGTTCTATAATAACACGCACAGAGTCTGTAGTACTTACAGTCACCGAGAGTATGGCGCTTAATAGAGACCGGTTTGGCGTGTCATGTATTAACTAATTTAGCACTTGTTACTTGTCTATGCGGAAGTAATGATACATTACTGCCAACACTATTTAGGAGGAAGACAAGGCCTAACTTCACACTAAGGATTTGGCTCTAGATGAGTCGGGTAGACTGCCAAAATGACCCAGGAGATGCCTCTTCTCACATGGGATGTGTTGATGTCACTGGAACCTGTGAGAGTCCCGGGAGGCTGGAGAAAGGCAGACAGCTGGAGTAAACTTCTTACTTTATTCTCAACAATCTCTTCATATTTTTGTTCGTAACTGGATGGTTTATGCAATATTTTAACTTTGGAATTTGTTGTAAGAGTTGAGTATTAAAGAGAAACCCTAGGAATGACTAGTCTAAGAAGCAAAAGAAACGCACAATTTGCCAGGGCCAAGTTCTGAAAGCCCTGTGAGTGAAGTCAGCAGCCGTGAGTCACATAAATGGGAGCCACAGAAATCCTCAGGGTTCTTTACCGGTGCACACCGACGGTTTTCATATGCTGGAGCACACGCGGTAAAGCCTTCTCGTGGGTGTGTGTTAGGACAGATGTGATAGGGAGCCCGTGGGAGCGGAAAACACAGCTGAGGTCACTTTTACTTTAACGGCTGCTAATGAATTAATGAGAAGTGGGGAGAAACAGGATCCGGGAAACGGACCGGAGTAACCCTGCCCTTGGAAAGCTGGCTGCGACAAG